GTTAATGTCATTATTTTTCTAATTTTATATATTGATGACATCCTACTCATTTAGAATGACGTGGAAGTTTAGTCATTAGTATAGAGGTAGTTGTTCAATTACTTTGGAATGAAGAATTTTCAAGATGTAAGCTATATTCCTAGGATCAAGTTTTTGCAAGATCAAGTTAAAAAAAGAAAAACAGGCTTATCTTAATAATCCTACATTGATAAAGTTTTGACCAAGTTTGGTATGCAAAACTCAAAGAATGAGTTATTGTTTTATTGATATGGATTGCTCTCTAGTAAGTAGTTTTCCAAGACTAGCAGAGGAGATTGAGCAAATGAGACTGTAATAATATACTTCGGCATGTGGCATTCTCATATAGGCAATGGTCTATACCAAACAAGACATCCGTTACATTGTAGGGATAGTCAGTAAATATCAGTCCAATTCCGAACTTGATAACTAGTCTGTTGTGAAAAATATCATAAAGTATCTTACGAAAACCAACGATCTCATACTCATTTATGGATGTGATGATGTGGTCCAAGTCGGGTATGCTAGTTGTGATTTTTAATCAGATGTAGATATTATAAGGTTCATGACTTGGTGTATGTTTATTCAATGGAAGGGAAATCAGTTGGTAGATTGTTAAACATATTTTAACTATTGGCTCAAACTAGAAGGTGGAGTACATTGCAACCTTAAAGGTAGCAAATGAAGCCTTTTGGTTTGATCTCACTGATTTAGAGGTCGTGGAGCATACTAGCCTACTTATCGAGTTATATTGCGACAATAGTGCAGAAGTAGTCCAAACCAATGGTCCAAGGTTTTATAGAGGAATAAGGTACACTGAGAGGAAGTATCATGTCCTACATGATATTGTCCGGCAAGAAAATATACTCGTGGCTAAAACATTGCATAGGAACACAACTTTGTTGATTCATTAACAAAGGTGTCATCGATCAATAGTTTTGATTGTCACCTGGATAACATTGGAGTTAGATGCAATTAGAATTGGCGATGAGGGCAAATGGGAGCTGTTGTGATTTATATGCCCTGGCATAGCAAATTCCTATTTGGATTATAGTGACATATGTTCCTGACATATCTGAAATATTTATAATTTATATAATTGGTGAATTCAAAGTATTATGTTTCGATTCATTATGAAATTGATAGTGTCCACTTGATTACAAGAGATATTTATTTATATATGTGATGTCGATCAATACATGAATATAAATAGTAATCATAAATAGTTCATAGTCGGTAATTATGGATAGATTCATTATTAATTAAGACTTGAACTGGATCTGCGTTAAGTTGAGATATATTGTAAGAGCCATCGTATGCAATTGCTTCCTATCACTGTCATGACATTTGACTCTTAAGTATGAGAAAAGTATAGAATTTTTTATTAATTAGTAATTACTTTGATTTGTTTGGCGGAATCTTCGTAATTTATAAACCGGCACTTTGGGTAATTATGTAATTAATAGTTAAAGGGTTATATTTTCAATATTTGCATCGTTACTACTTGTATTTATTTTGTATTGATTATGGTTGATCACAAAGTAAATTCGAAGGCCTTCGTATGTTTTTAGACAAAATGATTTATTATATATTTATTTATTTAAATTATTATTTTTGTCAAACAAATGTTTTATTGTGATCGAGCCGAAAATAATTAAAGGTACCAAAATAAATATATTAATTAAGTAGTCGGATTGTTGACTTTATTTATCCGATAACTAATTATGCATAGAGGGGTCAAAGTTCAACATTGACTTAGAGGTTATTTATTATTTAATTGGAGTTTAATTAATTTCTTTTAGTAGAGTAGAAATTAATTAATGAATTAATTTAATTGGGTTCATGGATCTGGCCACTTATTAATTCATTGTAGCCAATAAAATAATAAGCCCAAAGGATTCTCACTCATAACCCAACTTGATATTGGAATCCTATTAGATTTGAGATATGTGAATTTGAGATTGAGAATGATTTATTATTTACTTTCCTTATCTTTATTTTGCCTATATATGGGTCCATATATATTTTAGGAGAGACTTTGAGAGGACAAGAAATTTTTTTTTTCTCTCTAGATTTTTAGGATTAGTGTTCTTATCTAATGGAGACTCCCACAAGCCTATTTTTCTAAGGTCATTCATGGAGGCTTATGTGTGATTCCTAAAGGTAAAACCGTTATCGAAAAGATGTAGATCTAAAGAGAAGGTATCTAACAAAGGGATTTAAAATAAGTGAAAACATTCACTTTAGAGGAAAGATTTAAAGATTTACTCAAACCTTTGATGTAAGTATTCAATCCTTAAATTGAATGATACATCACATTTTATTTTTGTATAAAATTTATCTATGTGATGAATCAAGATTTATGTATGAAAATCCCTCAAAATTTTTTTAAAACTTGCACGTTTCGCAACAATATATATATATATATATATATATATATATATATATATAGACACACACACACACACATATACATATACATATAAAATATAACATGGGTTGTCAATTTACAAAACGAAATTAAAATCATGTAAGGAGGAGATAGCTTCAACAATTAAGTGAAGTCCAAAACACCGCCATCACTCTCACTGATGATTGTGAAAATTTAAGAAAAGCATACTCACTCTCACTCATAGTAATCAAACCCAGATTAAAATTTTTTAGAGAGGAATATATAAACAAAAAAAATTTAAAATTAAAAGGGCAATCTGGGATTTCATTGTGGGAAGAGCTTGAGGATCACAACATCCCCAAATGGGACTCTTCATCACCGGCGGCAAGCTGTTTTCATGTCCTTTCCCGATGAATTCCAGACATACTCTCCGAGATCCAATAAGCAATTTAGAGAGAGAATGATAACAAAAAATTAAAGAGAGAAATATAACAAGAACGATGATGCTGAAAAAGAACGAGTTTACCAAGGATAGCCACCGCCGGACAATGCTAAAGAAGAAGTGCGTGGGCTCGAGTGAGATCTACTTACAGGAGCACGTGGGCGCGTGTCACTCCCGACGATTATCTGAAACTGCATGCATTTCTTCGTTGTTGCCGTCGACTTGCCTTGGGTCACCGGAGATGATGGCTCTCGGGATGTTTGGCTTTCGTTTCTTCTTCGTTGGCGCCATTTCTTCACCCCATCTGCGCTCATTGTGAAGCACTATCTCTGAAGATGCCATCGTCTTAGAGAGAGAAATAGGAGAGAGACTAAAGTTGTGTGAAAGAGATGTTGCAAAGCTGATATGGCAAATTGAATGTAAAAATAATTTTTTTATTACAGGTGTCTAGAATTAAGGGGTGTAGTCCACCAACTCAGCCAAATGAGATGGTGGACTTGGTTCATATAATAATTTCTCCTCAACAACATAAAAAGTTACTGTAGAAAAACTTGTGACAAAAGTTGTAATACAGTATTATTTTTACTATTTTGAAATTTGTTTTCTTCGCAAAAAAAAAAAAAAAAAAAAAAAAATAAATAAATAAATATGGAAGGGGAGAAATCCAGAAGGGTTTTCAGAAGGAATACATAAACCATTTTTCACTGTTACTATTTTTATTTTTATCAAAAGACAAAGGGTGATATGTAAAACAAAACAATGAAAAACAGGGGGATAAATGTGTAATGGACATATCATTGGGCATGCATGCTCAGCATGGAAAGTGATGTATCAGCTGGCATGAAATTTCCCCACACAATCCCAACTCCATTAGTGAAGAGCATGTTCTTTCAACTGCCACCTATAACTATAAGCAGTAGTTGGAAAGAGCTCATTATGAGCATATCATACATATCAGTTTCTGCTACATAATAGGGTTGGCACTCCAATGACCTACTCAAGCTAGCTACGTACTGTGTGGTCTTCTTCTTCTTCTCCTTTTATTTATTTATTATTTTTTATCTTCTTCTTCTTTTCATTTTCTTTTTGCCCAATGCTTGTGATGGGCTACCAGAAGGAACGAAAAATTATCAAATTGAAATGGTTTTACGTATTAAAATTATAGAATTCAGTTTATTGCTGATGAGATTTTGTCCAATTGTGATTTATCATCTATGATCATGTATCAAGATTCATGATAGTACACACAATGCCCTTAGTAGAATTTTATAATATCCCTAACAATTTTTACGGTGTTAATTGAGAAATTATTAATTAGTATTAGACCATATTCATTTGATGGTTCAGTTCAATCAACTAGTGATTGATTATTATTTTTTTTTTATACAAATTAAAAGAGTTATATTGTGTCTCCTTTTTAGAGTGTTTATTTCGATGATTGACATGTATGATATGTATAAAAATGGACACTTCTATCCTTTTTCTTTTTTATATTATCTTATTAAACTTTTACTGAGTTTACATTTCTTAACTGAAGAGTTTTATTGGACTATACCACATGTACAAAAATATCTAATAATCTCTCTTCTTAGGAAGGGAAAAGTCTATTTCTTCAATGATCGATCAAAGTATATCATTTATCATTTGCCTCTCTATGAGACTCTGGCAATTATAGATTAAGTCATAGTACCCGCGAGTAAATATTTGGTTTATTTTGATTATTTGATAATAATTTTAAATTTGATATATCACTCTTTTTTTAATGAAAAGTTTTCCCTTTCTTCTTATAAGCAAGAGGCTTTTCATATATTATATACACCAGCATTCTTCTTCTTTCTACTTTTAAAAACAAATGGATCCATTTTAATCGGATCATGGTTCATGGGTAATGCCTGCCCCATCTCACCCCCAAGTCAATTTGACTCGGTAAAGACTTTTGGCAAGACTGAACAGAATCTAGTTCAGAAGTTAATGGAGCCGACCGTTATATTCGCCTTTTTACTTTTCCAAATTTTCTTACTATTAATAAATATTTTCCCGACTCTCTCTCTCTCTCTCTATATATCGATATCATATGCGTTGAATGTTAAATATAGTAGGAGTATTAAACTCTCAGGTAAGTAAAATCTATATTTCAAAACTGGATCCAAAGAAAGAAGACCGTTCCTCGTCATTTGTGCCCACCCTTTACCACACTCCTTCCTACTCTAACACCCTCTCTCTCTCACTCTCTCAAACTATTCTGTCTCTCACAAACTCCAAGTTGCTCCCCCAGACCTTACTCTCACAGCAAGTCCGACAACGACGTCTTTGGAATTGATCACTCTTCGCTTTCTCTCTCTAGATTGCAAACGAGAGGACTGTAAAATATTGCAAACTTGAAAGAGTTGTAGATATATAGAGGGAGTAGAGAGAAAAAGAGAGATTAGCTTGGATTTTGGGCAACAATGGTTGCTGGGAAAGTAAAACAGGCAATGGGTCTCCAAAAATCACCTTCCAATCACAAACCAGACGCCTCTCCGAAGCTAACATGTCCATCGCCCAGCTCGGGTGCCAAGGTAAACCAGAAGGGGGCTATGTTCTCTCGCTCATTCACCAATTACTTCCCACGCTCCTCCGCTCAGGTCCAGCCTCGGCCGCCGGACGTGACGGAGCTCCTCCGTCTCGTGGAGGAGCTCCGCGAAAGAGAGTCTCGCCTGAAAACACAACTCCTAGAACAAAAGCTTCTAAAGGAGTCCGTAGCCATTTTGCCGCGTCTCGAACACGAGATCTCGTTGAAAGACGCAGAGATTGATCGCTCTGAGAAGAAAATCGATTGCTTGGAAGCAGAGAACGACCGATTGAGACAAGAATTGGAGTTTTTGCACTCCAAAATATCGGAATTGAAGGATTTGAATGAGAAGAAATTGAAGGTAATGGAAGCAGAGATTGCAGATTTGAAGAAAGCATTAACAGAGCAAAACAGAGTAGAATCGAGAGGACACTGGAACAATGAAATTACGGATAGTGATGAGTTGTCATCTTCACAGAGGTTCTTTCAAGGTTTGATTGATGGGTCTGTGAAGTCAAATCTGATGAAGAACGTTAGAAAAGGGGCGAAATTTACCGACATTGGTGCGAGTCCTGAGAGTAGCAGCAAGAATGTGGTTGTGGAAACAGAGAGGCCAAGACATTCTCGTTGTGACTCAGAAGAAATTGCAGAGATCTCTGAATCTTCTATTTCAGTGAGGTCTCGAGTGCCTAGGGTTCCGAAACCACCTCCAAGACCATCTTCTTCTTCGTCTTCATTGTCCTCATCTTCATCTTCCTCACACGGTACTTTAAGCATATCAGCGGAGAGAGCATTGAATGAATCGTCACCGGTTCCACCTCCGCCACCAGTGAAATCGGTGCCTCCACCTCCCCCTCCGCGGCCGCCAATGGCTGCCCCACCTCCTCCTCCGCCACTACCGGCGAAGGGAATGAAGTCTGTGCCAACAAAGGTTAGGCGAGTGCCGGAGGTGGTGGAGTTCTACCACTCACTGATGAGGAGGGATTCTCGTCGGGACTCCGCCGGCGGCACATCCGACTCTCAGGCGACGACGGCCAACGCCCGTGACATGATCGGCGAAATTGAAAACCGGTCAGCTCATTTGCTCGCAGTAAGTTTCAAACTTTCATCTGAGTCAGTTTTTTTCTGTATTTACGATAGTGCCACTGACTTTATATCAGTCTGTCAGTGATAAGGACCACTCTTCTTTACACTTCTTGGATTATACGTTACTTCCTTGTATTTTAAGGCACTGTTTAGATTCGAAATCCTAAATTGGTAATTCAAAAGGCTGTAATTTTGATGACAACGTAGGGGCAAATTTGATATTTCAAGAGCTAATTGAATTCTTGGCTTGAGGTCAGCTCATTCAAAAATGTACTATTTTTTAGATAGTAATTAGGTCATGATTGTCACTAAACAATCCAAATAATACTATTGTCTGATCACTTATTAAATTTTGTTTTTAATTATTCATTGTCCTCATGTTAATTACAGATCAAGACAGACGTAGAAACACAAGGTGATTTCATTAGGTTTTTGATCAAAGAAGTTGAGAATGCTGCATTCACAGACATTGAAGATGTTGTACCTTTTGTTAAATGGCTTGATGATGAGCTCTCTTACCTGGTACATTTACTTTGAAAGCGCTCATTCATTGCTTATAAATTTCACCTAATATTTGGTATCGGGGATTTATTTTGTAGCTACAAGTTTAAAGGATAGTTGCGAAGGTTCCCACCTCATACAAATATATATATATATATATATATATATATATACCTAATAATTTTTTCATAATTTAATGGCATTGCTTCAATTGTTTTCTTCAGGTTGATGAAAGAGCAGTGCTGAAACACTTCGAATGGCCGGAAAAGAAGGCCGATGCATTGCGGGAAGCAGCATTCGGGTATTGTGATCTGAAGAAACTTGAATCGGAGGCTTCACCCTTTCGTGACAATGCTCGCCAACCTTGTGGCTCTGCTCTCAAGAAAATGCAGGCTTTGTTTGAGAAGTATAAGAATTTGCTTAACACTATAATTTTCAAAGTTTCATTAGTTTGCTCATTTTTGTGCATATTAACTAATTTTTCAATTTCTGTAATTAATAATACAGAATAGAGCATGGAGTTTACAATCTCTCTCGAATGAGAGAATCAGCTACTAAGAGATATAAAGTATTTCAAATTCCAACGGACTGGATGCTTGACACTGGATTCGTTAGTCAGGTAAATAATAACTGTCTAAATTTTGTATCTTTGGTTCATATGACGTCTATAAAAATATGGATTGATTATAAATTTGTCACTCAATATTTCTTATAAGGAATAATTAATTAATTATAAATACATTCATCCTGTAAAACGCCATTTTGTAATTGAAGTTGTGAATTCAAGGGATTCCTTTTAGTTTTGAAAAGTCAATCTTGTGTATCTTGGGGGAGACAATGAAAATTGTATTGGCACAGTCTGCTAAATATTAATATGTTTTCAATAGAAATTTTTTTGCCTCATTTTGTGTTTCTGCGCATCCATGAACACATGTGAGAGAGTCTCAGATCTCTGGAAATGTATTCGCTTTGTCTTTATCAGTTTTTTAAATTTTAGTTTTGAGTAAAAAGAGAATCAGATTCTCCATGTTGACCTTTTTATGCATTCCCAAGCTTCTATTATTGTAACATTAAGATTTTACTAAATTTTTTTAATAATATATGAGCACCTCAATGTTCTTTAATGTCACTTGGTTTAAAAGATAATCAAGAGAAAGAGGGAGACAGCAGACGAAAAAAGGAAGATATTTTTCCTTTTTTTAATTGGATATTGTTTGCGCCTTAGTTTTGCTTGAATGGATTTTCTGAAATATGCATATTAGTGAATAATTATATAATTAAAGTATAATGTTTTATTTTTGCACTTTCAACCAAGAAAATGAATGATTTGGACCCCCATATTATTGAGCTCCTCATTATGGTATTTATATTCTTCAAGCTGTGTACCTTACCTTTTTAATTGGGAATTAAAACACAACACCAAACAGATGACTTGATGGTGTGCTTAATTGCAGATCAAGCTGGCATCTGTTAAATTAGCCTTGAAGTACATGAAAAGAGTGTCTGCAGAGCTTGAAACAATTGATGGTGGTCCCGAAGAAGAAGAGCTAATAGTTCAAGGGGTACGGTTTGCGTTCAGAGTACATCAGGTGAAAAATATATATATATATATACATATATATATATTGTGCTGTTGTTTCAATTATACATTCAATAATTGTGCTGTTGTTTCAGAATTATTCATCTTACTGATGATGATATATATGCATACAATTATTGCCAGTTTGCTGGAGGTTTCGATGTGGAAACAATGAGGGCATTCCAAGAGCTGAGGGACAAAGCCAGATCATGCCATATACAATGCCAAAACCAGAACCAACAGAAAATTGTATGCCGGTCCACGGCTTGCTAGTTCATCTGTAGCAATCTCAGCTTCAAATATGGTACCGGTTTTTTTGTTGTAAAGATGGAACAAACAAACACCTCAGGGTGTCGTCTGTGAATACGATGGCCACGGCCTCTATGCATTCAGATTTATTTATAAGCTATATAATTTAATTGACGAAAGACTGCGTCGTACTAATAATAACACTCTTTCTTGCTCATGCACATCCATTGAAAACTGAAAATATAACTCATGACATGCCATTTCAAATGGATTTTATGTTCATTTCAATTGGGAATGCCCCATGTAACCGCTCAGGAGTATATAAAGATTGTTCTTTCTGCTAAAGGCCTGCAAGACCAAACCTTGGCGGAGGCCGAAATTTTTCTTTAATGGGCCTTTAACAAAAAAATATGTATATACATATAGTTTTATATATATAATGTACTCCATATATGTCTATCTACTCCAATGCTTTCTCTCTCCTTTTGAGGCCCTCTCTTCCTTTCTCAAAAAAAAAAAAAAAAAAAAAAAAAAAAAAAAAAAAATTCAATTGAGGCTTCTTTCATTTTTTGTGTGCTCCACTTTTTCTTGTTTGTTTTTGTATTTTTCTAAAGCAAGTTTCCCACTTACTTTTGTTCTCTCATTTTGCTTTGGCTTTTACACTAAATAAGGCGAGTTAAGCAATTTCAACTATATTGTTTGAATCTGTTGAGATATCTTAAAAATGTATTTTGTTAGACTTCAATTTTTGTTGGTTTTTCATTTTCATCAGTTCTAAGTCATTTTACTTTTCTTTTGAGACTTATTTATAGCTAAAATCATGTTTTGATTTCTTCAAATTCTATGTATTTTTTTCCCTTGCCACTAGATTTTTCAAATCCTAATATTTTCTGAAAATTTGCTTGAGCCTTAGCATATAAGGCCTTTAAATTTGTTTGTTTAATTGAGAGTTCTTTAAATTTTCGCTTAATTTTATTTGTGTTTTGTTAGGGAAGTTTCATAAGAAGCTTCTTTAAATTACTAATTTTTTTTTAAAAAACAATTTGGTTAAATTTTGGGTAGAGATATATTTTTGTATGAATATAATCAATAGTAAAAAAAAAAAAAAAAAAAAAAAATTGACTTGAAGTAGTCTTATATTAGATATAATGTTCACTTATAAGTTGGGCCCCCAATCATACAATCCTGGCTCCACCCTGAAATTTTTAGCTGATTGAGTCATTTAAATTTTAATCTGATATAACCCATTAAAAACCAAAATTAGATGAGATTTCATTGATATTTTAGCTCTTTTTTGGTACTCCAAGTGTCCCATTCCTTCAAAAATATACATCCCAATTGATTGCAACTTTGCGGATCAAAACAAATTAGGATGTAACCATTTTGTTACAATTATACTACCTTTATTATATAAAACAAAAGGTGAGCGTGTATTGAAAAGCATATATATTATTTGCAAGTGTAATTTTATTATCAAAACTACAAGAATACAACAGAATATCGCAAGGGAATCCCCTCAAGAAAGCTCATTTCTGAAAGCTAGCAGCAATAAACAACAAAATCATCAGAATTCTGCAACCAAAAGGACACCAGTAAGACAAATAAATCTCTATCATCCCCCGTTAGTCCCTTATTCCCCAGCTGCTGATTACTTCTCCCATCCAACCAAAGATTATCCCTGAATTTACGACAAACTTGGCGATTCCCAATCACACCTTTCCTTATCCTCATATCTACCCACAGCCAAACAGAGATCGTTAACACTATTTCCCCTTCAATCAACTTCATTTATCGATTATATTTTTTTCAATCCAGCAATGCCAGTAAGACAAACAGCATCCTGTTTTAGTCACCCAGCAATTGTGTAGCTGAAAATTTAAGAATGAGATTTAAACTATATGAATACATAGAAAAACAAGATACTACCAAAACAGAGGTAATTAGTAACATATATCATTCACACAGGTAGAGTTGCGAGTTTTGATGAAGTATATAGTGTGAAAATTCTACATAAATAGTTCCAAACAAGAACCCCATAGTAAAATAAACTAAAAGAAAGCTCCACCTATTCAGAGAATTTAGTATTAGTATTATTTTTTACAACCTTATTGCACTTCAAAGTTCAAACCAATTATTTATTCCTAAAAAATCAGACAACTTTACAATTGATTCTTGCCCCCTTTTATTAGAAGTAGAGAACAGGCAATGCTTGGTAGTTGGTAGTGGTACCCTCATTCGTCATTATTATACATACAACTTCACATATTGAGGGCTGCATATAGGAGGTGGTTCCAGGTATCGGGCAATCCAGGAAGGCACCAATGGCTGCAGTCTGTGCCCGACTTCTGACCACCATAAGTCGAGGGGTGAGCATCCTTTCTCAGCTGTGAAAGTGTTGTGATGTCCAGCAGAAAAACCGGTTTCTTAATGGTACTCAATACTTGGTGTACGACAGCAACAGCTGGAGGTGCACCTCCCGGGTAAGATGAACCGGTCAGTGGTTGCTGCTCTCCATTGCAGTTCCTTGATCCTGATTTCCATTCCTTGGCCCTGTCACATTTACATTCAATATTGTCATTCAGGTAAAATGCACACACTTGTATGGATACAACACATGTTTAATTGATGCTAATGCATGAATTGCAGAGGGTCAGCTATTATTTTTCTAAGTATAAGCTTTGATTATTGTCCTAGTGTCGTCATCATTAATATCATCATATAACAAAGATATCTGACAGCATTAATCAGACTTTTAACTATGAATTTGTGAATAAAACATGGTTAGTTTAATTTAAATTAGCTCGTTTGATTAATTTATCATGGAAAAAAGGACAGTTGTGTGATTAAATAAAAAGACATCCGATCGAACAGTGTAGTTTAAAAGATTTGATAAACACTTACTGATAATGGGTGGGAGAAATCCCTTGGAAGAATACTTTGGTTTTGGAGGGATCGACGTTGAGATCAACCCATTTAGCCCAAGTGTTCAGCCCTTTGTAAAATGCGGTTATACGGTTCATGTCTTTGGAAATTTTGGTCCCATCTTGAATATAATCCCATCTGCAATGCCGAAACAAGTATAGTGAATAAGAAGGGGGAAAAGAACATAAACTTTTCAGTGTGGAAATGGAAAAGTGAGATAACGAATCATACGGTTGAGAATTCCCTTTATGGGTCCACCAATGCCAAGTGTTGAATATCAGCATGTCCATCCCCTTCCATGAATTGCCAGCTTGAATGGAGTCCAATTTCAGTACTCGTCCAATATTTTCTCGGACTATGTCTACCAAGTAAGGTGTGCGATAGAGAGATATTGTCACTCCATAGTCCTGCAAATTCACAATTGTTTGTTATCTCAATCATTTGATTAGTTGTACATTGCAAGAGATTTATGTTTGTATCTAAATAATGACTATGATCAGCTAACTTGGTTCCAATTCTTGACATCGGTTTGGCGACCATAAGGCACATGTAAAAACAGGAGCACACATCCATGATTGCATCTTATGAGGGTCTGAATCCTCAACCTTTCATTTGCAAAGAAGAAAAATTCCACTAACAGCATCGGTTTCATGTCTTTGGTCGGTAGGACCATAAAATCACTAGTGAGTTTACTCAATTTCTTAAAAATTATAATTAGTACAAATATGCTGCTTGTAATAATATTCTAGAAATTATTAATAACAAGTACATTAAATAACTAATTAAAATAGCTGAACAGGGGACGGGAGACTCATGGCTTTACATTTAATTCTTATTAGTGGGAGTTAATAATGTGCTTTGAAGTATGAAGTGTATAAAGTGACCAATATGTAGGCCTACATATCTCTTTATTCCAATACAGTATTAATTATAACTCGCATCATCAATAGGAAAAGATAAAGATGAGCTGACAGAATAAAGACTGAAGGGAATTTTGTGATTTTCTTAGTACATTTAAGAACAAACACACACAAATGTGTTTCACACACTAGTACAATGACTGTGTGGAACTTAAATCCTTTCCTGTGCCCCATTCACATTTTCTTTCAAATTTCACAACTTGTAATGATTAAACCACGTCGTCTTGTTAAGTGATGTGGCTCATTGTCGTGTGGTATTGTTCTACCGGAGAGGATCTCTTGAAATAAATCATGCAATAATTAAGAAATGAATCTCCAACAAATTGATATTTTTTATTATTTTAATAATTGGTGACAAAAAAGTGTCCTCTTTCTTCTCTCTAACAATTAACCACTAATCCTAACATTCTAGCCTTGAATAAAAAAATAAAAAATGATTGTTGACAAAAATAAAAATAAAAAAGGATAAGATTTTCATTTCCATCTCATTTTTTTTTGTTGTTGTTAACCTATCACTCTTGTTTGAAGGATTATTGGAAAAGCATTGTTTGTAATCAACCACCTTCTAATCATTCCCTCTTTGTCAATTCGATAAATGTCATGATTTGAACTTCTTTTGCAGTTAACCTGTCTTGTTTTATGGATTATTGGAAAAGCATTGTAAACAACCACCTACTTTATTCAGTCCTTTTGTCAAATTGATAAATGTTGTGACTAGTGTGATTTGAACAATATTGTTAAATTGTCAATCGATATCTAGGATTTCAATTTTGACAACTGCAGTCTATAACCGACTTTGTGATGAGAAACTAGGGTTAAAGTTGGTTAATCCCAAAGGGACAGCTAGCCTAAATTTTAATTATTTTGAATTTTTTTTAAGACTTCAAAGACTAATGAGAATATCATTCTCATCAGTCAACAGATTCTCAATTATTTAATTTTTTTTTTATTACAAGTCCAACTACTACTATCATTTTATTTCATTACCACAGAAATTAAATATACTCTGTAGGACCAATCTTTTTCTCTTTCCAATTTTTTATTTTTTATTTTTATTTTAAGGCAATCAAGCATACTCTATGGGTATTTTTGGCATATTTGTTGTCTATAATGCTTTTTACAAGTATCTTATACTACAAAAATAATCCTAAATATACAATTTACAATTAGTTATATATAATTTTTTTTTCCCCAAGTGTCTTATATTAATAATATTTTTGGCATACTAGTTGTATTAAAAGTTGTCTAAAATTGTTTTTGGATTATTAGTTGTCTATAATTTTTAGACCACAGCATATTCCCATATTTTAATTTTTTTTAAGACTTAATGAGTATAAAGAATATCCAGCAATTCTGAATTATTTAATTTTTTTTCTTTAAACTCCAGGCTCCAGCTACTATATATAATTTTGTTTCTTTAGTACACAAATTAATAAACCCTTAGGACCAATTTTTTTTTTTAAAAAAGGAAATTACTTTAAAGGCACTCAAGCATACTTTATCAATTGTTTTTATATTATCAATTGTCTATAATTGTTTCTTAGAAGTGTCTTAAACTACAAAGGAAAACTTAAAAATATGATATATATATATATATATATATATATATATACATATTATATAAACACATAATTTTAGTTACATTTAAATATAGAATTTAAAAATAGTTTCGAGTCTAAGCCCATAAGTTACTATTACATCAGAACCAGTATCGTGTTTCATGTTGTATGAACGCTTTTTTTTCACTAATTAAAGGACTATCTAAAGCAACAAAAATAGAGTTGATAAATAAATAAATAAAAAGCGACAAAAATAGAAAATACGGAAAAGTACTAAACTGACCTCAAAGGTCACATGAGAGAGTGGAGCGTTCCTGACAAGGGTGGTCTTGACATTGGGAACCGATTGATGAATCATACAGGCCAGCGAATTCCATTGATTCAAACTCAGTGAGTCACCCACAAACATAATTTTCTTCCCCCTCCATCGTTTCAAAAAACCCATTCCATCAAACCTACAACAAAACATTCATAAGTACCTAAACACAAGAACCAATATATACAGATACATACATATATATATATATATAGTTGCGTGTGTTCATCAAATATCTATCTTTATATATACATTGGGAAGGTTGCTCCATTGTTACATCTGACGCGGAGGTCACTGGTTCAAAATCGGAAAAAACCTGACCCTCCCAGTATCCCGCAATTATATGTAGAGAGAGAGAGAGAGAATGTATATATGTATATATATATATATATAGAGAGAGAGAGAGAGAGATAAGTACCTGGGTAAGTCACAAGCGTCTGGTTTCCAAGCATACTTGAGGTACTGTGTGTCAGGGCGACCAAACTTTTGGCAATCAAATTCAGGATCTATGAAGGGACAGCTTGAAGATTCATAGAGAGGATATGAAGCATCAAGTACCCATTGGCCTTGAAACAAATTACAACCACTCACTAGCTCTCTATTTCTCAAACTGCTTATATTATAGAGTTGCTCTGTTCTTGCTTGTTGAACAAACAGAGTCACCAATACAACTACTTCTAAAAGCAGAGCTTGATACCCAAAACCCATCTCAGTTCTCTCTGTACAAGAAATTGAAACTATAGAGGAATGGTGAAGAACAGAAGTTTGAGAGGTGAGTCTTATATATATATAGTATATACACGATATAGTATATGGAAACTACTATATATGTATTATATATATATATTGAAAGAAAGAAGGGGGGGTTCACATGGTGTAGTGCACATAGTTTGAATTTTGTCATTGACATGAGTTGGAAAATATTGGATGGACTCGATTAGTGTGTAATGTGAGTGGTGGCTAGTTGTTTTCTTATTTGTTTTTTCTCGGGAAAATAAACTCGAGTGCCATGTCGATTCTTGTTGAAATGTTCTTTTGCATTCTATTGGATGGCTAGTATGTCACGGGCATGCCAATTAATAATTAATATGACTATAATGATTGTAGAGTTCATTAATAAATTAGTAATGCCATTTGATTTTAATCTTTAGTACTCTTTCTTGTGTTAATGAGCACGAGAATGCAAGTTAAAAAATGAAAGTAACACTCAAATGCACGTGCAGTCAACATTGATTAATAAATTTTTTAATCACTTTCTTGTAAAAATAAAACTTACTGGCTCGACCTATATCTCTATTTTTATTTTTATTTAAAACACCACAAAGACGAATGTCTTTATCAATAACTAATTCACTTTTTTCTATAAAGCTACATGTTACTGTAGAATTGGACAAAACATACCGTAATTAGAGGGGCATCTTCTTTGTTTTTTTTGGGGGAGGGGGGTTAAATTAAAAGGCACTTTATTATGGTAAAACTTTAATTAACTTACCATTAGAGGAGTTGTAGTCTAAGTGATACTTTATCCCTTTTAAAGTAGGTTCCCAGAGTTCAAGTCTCTATAAAAAAATATACATGTGTGAGTTTTTAAGTTTAATAAGAAAAAAAAATATTAGGAGTGTGAAAGTCATAAATACTTTATATTATATTGTATTTTATATAAGAGAATGGCAAAATTGTCATTGTAGAAAATTTGGTCAACATATTTGTCGAAAAAAAGAAGAAGCTAAAAGCTAAATCTTAGGAAAAATTGAAGTAATAAACACTAAACAACTTATTTGTATATAATTTGCCCAAACTCGAGGAATTTCAGAGTAATTTAATCAAAGAATTACTTAGACTCCTTCTAATCCACTCGGTGGGGCGGTTCAAACCTCAGGTCTTAGGCGGTCACCTAAGACCCCAACAGAATGGCCCTAAAATTTTATTTACTTTCTTATATTATTACATTTCTAAAATTTTATTTCCTTGCTTTTATTCCCTTATTACACCTCAACCGATGTCAGAGGCGCCAAAAATTTTATTTCCTTATTTTTATTTCCTTATTAAACCTAAACCAATAGCAGATATTTTATTTCCTTATTAAACCTAAACCAATAGCAGATATTTAATAGTAGGCCCAAATAATTAACTCATAATTTCTATCCTTATTTAATCATTTATTTTCCTCCTCGCCTCCCCTCATTATAGTTTTTTTTTTTTTTTTTTTTTTTCTTTTCATCTATCTTGAGATTCTTTACACCTATTCTATTAATTATTGAGTATATATCTATTGGACTGGTATACCAAGTATTACAAAAATAATACAAAACTTGCATACAATAATTACTATGTAAGAAAAAATAAAATCAATTACTAACTTTACATCTCAAAAAGCAAGAAAAGTGATTATTAAACAAACATAATTAATTATTATTTAAAATTAATATATTAAATATTAAAAGTCATTCATCTAAAGCCTCAAACTAGAGCCGCCCTCCCCACAGCCATAGATTCACAAGCCCAAAGGGCCCTCCCTTCGTTTGTATCCTTCTAGTGGTTAGTAATGAATAACCCTACCTCGCGAGAGTACAAGTCCTACCTAACAAAATTTCACTTATTTATGAAAAAAAAAAAAAAAAAAAAACCTTAAACTTCAGTAACTCTTTAAAAAACCTGTAGTGCACCTTAAACTTTTTTTTTTTTTGTTTGGAAAAGGTCGAATTTAGAATGAAAAGCATAAGATAAACTGCTTGTAATATCTATACATAGACTGTCAACTTAATTTCGTGATAATTCAGCAAGGCAACCAGCATCTTCAGTTTTTCGGAAAGAGTCCATATTAATTATTTGCATCACACATTTAATGTGTGCGTTAGGACTTAGGAGTAGTAGTACTATAAAAAGACCATAAAAAAGTTGTCGCAGTACTTGTGTGTTAGTCACTGCTGAGGTGTCTTTCACATTGTGATTTGTGAACCACACCGACAATCCTCTTGTTGTAAGTACGCAGTATATGTAAATTATCACCAGCATTCCTTGTTTAATTATCACATTTGTGAACCACACCAAGTGTTTTCTCCACTATCTCTTGTCTCTTTCTTCTTAGGGAAACGAATATAGGACCGACGGCCAAAGAAATATTGAAGTTTGCCGTTCAAAAGTAATTTTGAATATAAAAAGTCAACTTATATTATAATAATAGTATATTGTATTGAATTTTATATAAGGAAAGGTAAAATTGATATTTTATAAAATTTAATAAACACGCCTGCAAAGAAAATATTAAGGGTATCATTAAGTATCCGCATCAAATCTAAGACGAGGTCAAAATAATAAATGTTGAATAATTAACTCATGTGTAATTTGCCCAAATTTCAAGAGACGTCTATGTAATTTAACAAATTATTTTTATTTTGACTTGCTTTGGTGTATCAAGAATTTTTCTTTCATCAGATTCTTATTGAGTAAAGTCAAGAAGTTCAGAAAAATATCATTTTTTTTTTCCCAGTAGAAAGAACAGAACAACAAAAATCCCAAACACAACCAAAAGCACACATTAAAAGTCATGAGGTCTTGCAGTTGGGGAGGCAAAACATCCCAATGTCTACCGCCACAACATTGATTAAGAGCTTGCTTCTAATGTTACAATAATTTGTTAGCACTTGAAATATTAAAGTCAGTCGAAAAGTGGCTTTAAGTGTGAAAAGTCCGTAATACCCTTATATTATAATAATATATTATATTAAATTTTATACAAGAGAAGGGTAAAATTGTCATTTTCTAAATTTTAGTAAACAATTATGCCGTAAAGAAAATATTAGGGGTGTCATTAAGTATCCGCACCAAATCTTAGGGAATGTCAAAGTAATAAATGTTAAATGATCTACCAGTGTGTAATTTGTCTAATTTTCAAAATAGGTCAGTGTAATTTAACAAATTATTTTTGTGTTGACTTGCTTTGGCATATCAATAATTTTTCTTTCAATCACATTGTTATTGGGGTAAAGTCAAGAAGTTCAGAAAAATATCAAAAAAAAAAAAAAAAAATTCTACTAAAAAGAACAAAGAACAACAAAAATCCAAAACACAACTAAGAGCACACATTAGATGTCAAGAGTTGTAGCAGTTGGGGAGGCAAAACATCCCATTGTCTATCGCCACAACATTGATTAAGAGCTTGCTTATAATGTTACAATAATTTGTTAGCACTTGAAATATTAAAGTCAGCGAAAGTGGCTTTGAGTGTGAAAAGTCAATAATGCTCTTATATTATAATAATATATTATATTGAATTTTATAAAGGGGAAGGGTAAAATTGTTATTTTATAAAATTTGGTAAACAAGTTTTTCATAAAGAAAATGTTGGGGGTGTTATTGAGCATCCGCACCAAAACTCAGGGAAGGTCAAAATAATAAATGTTGAATGATTTATCCGTGTGTAATTTGCCCAAATCTCAAGAAAAGTTAGTATAATTTAACAAATTATTTTTGTTTTGACTTGCTTTGGCATATCAATAATTTTTCTTTCATCACATTGTTATTGGGTACCGTCAAGAAGTTCAGAAAAATATCAATTTTTTTTTTTCCCACTAGAAAGAACAAGGAACAACAAAAATCCAAAACACAACTAAGAGCACACATTAGAAGCCAAGAGTTGTAGCAGTTGGGGAGGCAAAACATCCCAATGTCTATCACCACAACATTGATTAAAAGCTTTATTCCTGACCCAATCTACAGCACTATTACAACATCTTAGAACCCATTTGAGTTTAAGAATAGAAAACTGCCTCAGAAGTTCCTTAACATCAATAATTGGGATGGGCATCGGGGGATTAAATGGTTTCAACCATATCAAAAGTGCATATTTTGCTGCTACTTGAAACCCCTTCAAGTTTTGTAACAATTCATTTTATTATTGACATCGACATTTGGGATAAAAATGGTCAAAGTCACATAGTTGAACTACATAGTAATTTCTCATCTTTACTTGAGGGTATTTAAGTAAAATAAAGGAAGTCGTCAGTCAATTTAACAGTCCGTCACTATAAGGGAGGACTGTGTTACAAAGTTTTATTTTTAAGGGAGGTTAGAGTAATTTTGAAAATTATAGGGGAGGTCTACGTAATTATGACCAACCTCAGGGGGATTAGTGTAATGTACCCAACATTTATTTTTATATATATACACACACAGATACATATATATGTGGAGCTGTGACTGATTGGAAAATGATATGGAGCTTTCAATGGAGAGGAGGTGGGTTTGGCAGTCATAATAGTGAAGCTTGTTATCGGAGTATAGGGGGGATTCTGCCACTGTAGGTATAAAGGAATCTGATGGTGGAGGTGGAAGTGAGTTTAAAGGTGTTGAGAGAAGGTGCAACCATGTTAGTGTTGAGATTGAATAGAAAAGAGGTTTAATTTTGAAAGAGAATAGCGTTGGCCATGGTAAGAGAAGGTGGTGATGGCCATGGTGGGTGCAAGAAACAAATAAGGGGAGAAAAGATGTTTGGGATAGTTTCTCTTTATCCATTTTAGTTGTTTCACATTTAATTAGTTTTGTACTTATTTTTTTTATTAAGTCGTTTCACTTTTGTTTTCAACATTCTTGCCCTTGTTAACACCTAATTTAAATGTTAAGGAGTTTCTAGAACTTTTAGATAACCATATGCTTTGTATGTATACCATAAGGATTTTTTTGCATATGACCCAATTTTTTTTTTAACATATATAGTCAAAATGGTAGTTATGGTTGTAATAACCCACTTTATCGCATGGTATGATATTGTCCGCTTTTGCCCTGAGCCTGTACGATTTTGTTCTTGAGCTTTACCTCAAAATGTCTTATAT